ATAAATTTGAATATAAGAATTAAAATAATTTTTTTTAAAATTACAGGAACTAAAAATAATAATTTTAAACTTGAGGGACGACTTAAAACAAATTTACGCAAAGATTAAAAACATATTTAAACTTTAATAATATTATTATTTGTTTCGATTATCAATTTGAACAATCAATTGTTCAATGTATCAATCAACTAAAGTTTATAATTGGTTCAACAATTCATCGTTAATCTGAGCAAAATTGAAATCAATCTCTTTATAAATATAGGGTTTAACTCTTGAAAAAAAAAAAGTGTCATTAAAAGGAGAAATTTCACTCTACAGAAATTATACATCAACAAGTCAGTAAATATTTCAAATTAATAAAATGATTGTAAAAATAAAATAAAAATAAAAAGTTTTTCTCCTGTAGTGACACAAACAACTTTTCATTGTGCAGCTAGGAGATAATGGTCCCTTCTAAAATACCCTTTATTATTATTTTTTTAATGATATATAATGATCTTTGGTAAAAGAAAATCTACACTTTTCTTAACAGCTGGTCCTTTATATCTTTATGATTTGTCCTATACAGTAGAGCATTACTCTGTGAGGAAAATATCACATGGAAAGAGATGGCCAACAATGCCTTATTATTTTGCATTATGCAGCAAAAGATAATTGTTTCCAAGGATTCAATACACCCATTATTTTGTCATTACATGCACCATTAGATTTAGATACATCTTGGTCTCTGCTTCTTATGAATGAAATAAAGGCAGCTAAAAGCTACTTTATAATCTGTTTATATTCAACTAATGATGACGCACCATTACCATGCCAAGCAAGAATTTATAAACTTTAGAGAAAATACCTTTGGAAGGTTGTAACTATATACAATTTATAATAGAACCTTAAATAAGAGAATGTCATATCACTTTAGTTAGTAAAAATTAAATATAAAATGTATATCACTAACCATATAAACTTATTTTGAGAACGAAATAGATTAATAGTGTACTTGTTTGAGTATTTTTTTACACACGTTTATCTAAAATTTCATGTCATGTTTGTTAAAAAGATGTAGAAGCTTTTTTTTTATTTTTTTTTTAGCTTCAATTGTGAGTCTAATTTTGTTAAGGACAAAACTTCTAAATTTGTTAAAAATAAAATTTAAGTATTCTTTTGATATGATTCACATTATTTTTCAATTGGAATTAGAATATTACTTTAATGATATACGTAAATATATATTAATGAGATTTGTATTAAATATAAATATATATTATTGAAGTAAAATTTAAACTTTAATAAGAAAATCACATGTATCTAAAGAAATATACTTGAATTTTGTCTTTTTGATGGGCATTAAACCAAACATGCATTAAATCACTAGTAATGACCCTTGTAGCGGGCAAAAAAGTGAGGGCAGAAAACTTATTAAATGTTATGAAAACTTTTTAGTAAAGGGAAAGAAAAGCAAAGTTAGTATTGTGGAGGCAAACATCAAAAGCACAAGATATAGACCGAATATTCTATAACCCAAAATCTTCTTGTGGCCACTTGCAAAGGCAATGCCAACACCACTTAAAAGGGTAGCTTTAACAATAGCATCATGGCCAATATAGTGGTTGGAACTTGGAATGAATTTACAAGAATGTAAGTTGGTGATAAAGATCTCAAAATATATATGTTTTGCATCAAATTTAGAATTTAGTAGATATACACGTTCTCATAAAAGTTTGAATTTATGATTATGTGTTATGTGTAAAAACTTTTATAATGTGAACTAATCAAAAGTCAATATAACTTTTAAAATAATTATTATAAAAGTTAACAATTTTATTATAAATGTTATATAATAATTCATAATTAGATGATAATCTAAAAGTACAATACATTGTCTTTATTCTTTAAAAAAATTTGTTAACCTATTAAAAATTATCTATAAGATATAACTTATATACAATTATTTTAATTACTATTGTTATTATTTTTCAATTAAAATTAAAGTTCTATTTTGATAATTTAAATAATCTTTTAATACATAGTACTTTTATTAAACAATAAAAAAGAGACAATATTCTAACTTTTATCATAATCGTTAAACAACTCAATATATCTATAACATATATGAGAGTGATGGTCTGATTTGGTATATATATATTTTTTAGATGATTTTATTTTTTAATTTTTAAATAATAAAAAATAATATTAAAAAGTAATAATCATTATAAATATAATACTCAAATTCAAAATCATAAAGTTTGAGAATCAAACACAATATCAATTTTTTTAAAGAAAATACAATACTAATTATCTTAACAAATATTGATAATTCTTAAACATATTTAATAAATAAAATATAGATATAAAGTAGCTTAACCTCATTAATTTGTATAAAACCACTTCCACTTTCATACTCATCAAATTCATCATAAGTTCACAACTACCAATTCTTTACACATGGTGCAAAATCTTCACGTTACTTGCTAAGTAATTCAATGTTGAAATCATTTGGATTATGGTGAGCATTACTACTAACCTATGAAATTATGGTGCCTAATATACCCATCAAAAGAATTATGATGCCTAGTGCTCATAGCACGAGCTATGTTTTTGTAACTTTGGGACTTTCCCAATCAAGTCATTTGGAATTTACGAACAAAATGAAAATGCAAATATCTTAAAGCCAATACTAGTACCTTCACATTTGTGAAACCGTTAAAGTTTTCGTGTTTGTACACCAATAAGTCAAATGTTTCTAACCAAACTCCAGTCTAGGATTTCGTATAAAAATGTTAGGTGAAGAGTCCTGCGTTAAGCAATGATAATCAATATATTTGTGATCATAGATTTTAAAGCAATGAAGTAATTATTAACTTTATGAAAATGTAATTTAGCTATTTATTTTAATAGTTAATGCCACCGTAACTTTATTCTCATTAATTTAATCTTACATTAAATATCAAATTGTGAACAATGGAAAAAACATAATTGTGAGAGGAGAGTCACTAAATATCTCTTAATAAAGATTAGTCATTAATGAAGTTAATAAATATTTTGTACAAATAATATAACTATAATTTTTTTTTGTGTGTGTAGCATTTGTGTATAATACTCATATCTCTACCATTGTGGATGCAATGGGCATACCAATTTGATTATGCTAGAGGCCTAATTGATGTGCCACCTTATGAAACCATATTAATTGACGATCATCAAAGTCAAGAAGAATTAAAATCGTATTTTTGTAATATTAAAGATTTAATTAACCAACGGTACCAATTTCATAGACCAAGTTAATGTTTTACTCGAGAAAACCCTAATTTTGAGTAGAGTCAAGAGTTGTTGGTAGGGAGAGGCTAGGCAATTTGAATTGGTGGAATAGTTTGTGGGCCACCCTATGGATGAGCCCATAGACATTTACTACTAAAGTGACTCGGACTTAAACTCCAGCCTGTACTCCCTACAAGTCTTTATAGGGCTTTTCCCCATTAAATATACAAAGACTTTACCCTTTTATTTATTTATTTATTTTTTGATAAAAAATCCCTTCTCAAACTAATTTACAGAATATACTTTTGAAAATTTGTGTTTAACACTGCTTCAACAAACATAAATTAGTTTTTATAATTTAGTTAATCTAATATCGCAGAAACTAGTTTCAAATCCAGTACAAAAACTAAGACCTGGTGAGCGAGATGGGCTTAGAGAGAAGAAAATGTGATTAAAAGAGGGAGAGAATAGGGGGTGTGTGGTTAGAGAAATAGGGGAGTAGACGAAGAGAAGTGAAGAAGAATAATTTGGGTATTTCAAAATGTGAAAAAAAAAAATAATTTAGTTAGGCTTCCCTTTGTTTTGCCTAAGACGTACTTGTGGACTCTGAATTTTGGGCCTTCTTGATACTATGGCATCAGTTAGTTCTATTTTTAAATGTTACAATAACTTGACATAGTACGCTAATACAAATACAAAAATGATACATCTAACGTTCCCAAGGTTCATAGTTGAATCTTTAAATATTCATTATTGAAACATAGAAATAGGTCATGTCATATGGTCCAGTTGAGCACCATTTGTAGATTGATTCACGCCAAATCGATTGTTCAATAAAACAGGCATTTGTTGACCCAAAAAATAAAACAGAACCTGCATTCAATATATTCATTTTATGCAAGATTCATTTTTATTTTTTCTAACTCTTTGCTTAAACGTGTTCGTAATTGAAAAATGGTTTGAAAATCAGCTCATTTCAGTACAGGACTAAAACAAGGATATTTAAGACCTTAATCAACATTTGAGTTAACAACTTTTAATAAAATAAAATATATTTAACAAAAACATTTTTTTTTGGTAAAACATCAAATACTAAACTTATAAAAACAAATTTAGAAATGAAATCATTTCCAATTAATAAAATAGGTAAATTATTCCTAACATTTCCTTTTTTGAAAATAAAGAAATAATATATCTATATCAAGACAAATTAATTATAACTACTTATCAAATCCAATAGTTTACCATTAATTATTACCTCACATTATAATCAGGAATTATACAAAATTCTGAAACATTTTTAAAAATAATATAACTTCATAAAAACATTCTTAGCACAATATTATTTTCATAGCAAATACAAATTTTATTAGAATATATACAACATTATCAAGATATTTGAGACCTATACAATAAAATATATGATCACTAATCAGTGAAGATATGTCTACATCCTTAGTCCTGTTGTGGGTAGAGGATCTTTTGCAGTACAAAAATGTTGCTATGGCATAAAACACTAACTAAAATGTAGTGAGTTAACACTAGCCATTTCTTGGAGAGGCACGTCTCATCCCATCTCATTCAAAGGTAATTGATGAACCTTGTATTTGATTGTAGTGTAACCATACTCAACACACACAAATAGTGGAAATGCTAGAGGTTAAGGCATACATTACATTATATGGGGGAACGCAATCAATGTACATAGCCCCCATAGCTAGTTATCCTAAACAAGAAGCTATTAGCTCTAGTTTAAGCTATTAATTAGTTTAGAACACTACAAATTATTTTTTAAGATCAAAACAATGCATACATGTTGAGATATCCAGTGCGCCAATAGACTGGGAAAAAGAAGACCAAAGTTTTGCAAATCACTGGCAAGTGTATAAGGTAATTGTTATTGTACAAAAGAAAAAAAGTTTATCTTCATCAAATTTTACCTGCATCCCTTTCCTACATCAGGTGAATTCACCATCATGATAATCATTAGTCAGATCACTAGCTACCCTGCAAGAAAATAGAACACATTGTTATTACTACATATTACTAAGCTGTCTACAATGCCTGAAGATAAATTTAAGATTGTGACAAATATAATGAAGTACCTCAAGAAATCTGATAATGTCAATTGAAACACCCCTCCAAATTTTTAACAAATGACAACAACCAATTAAGGAAAAGAAGTGAACTACTGTGTGAAACCATTTTAGCCAGCAACCTTAATTGCCCCCAATTGATCAATTTTTGAGCTCTTATGCTGCAATGAAATTAAGAAATTCACAGAGAAGTTCATTAAAAGAATCATCAGGTGTGTATAAAAGAGAGAAAAAAAACAATTGAAAGGTTATCCCGAGATAAAATTTCTTTCCTTTATTACCTTACTCTTTTTGTGTTTGTGCACATGATTAACATCATCATCTCCATCATGCTTCCTTTTCTGAAATATAGTGAGTTAACAAAAGATTAATAAATAGAACTAAACGCCTGCAACATGTCCAAATAGTATGTCCATCATCAGAACTTAAGTCACAAAACAATTGAGGGTTAAAATCATCAGCGCAACAAAATTCATAAAGTCAATATGTAGAGTTAATTCGCAATGTTATGGCATGAAAGGACTTTTAGAACACTTTTTACTCTCGATGTGAACAATGTGGATGCAGTCATCAAAAACTTCTCAACCTTTTCATGGTGTTTCTTCGAGTGATCAGCACCGGAATCACGATGCCCACTTTTATCTTTCTTTTTGTCCTTGTCCTTGTCTTTGCTACGGTCCTTATGACGATGCTTGTGCTTCTTATGCTCCTTGTCCTTGTCTTTGTGCTTCTTATGCTTCTTCTCCTTCTCTTTATTCTCACCTTTTGATTTTCCTGCAATAGTTGGAATCCCTTTCTCTGCCTATTAGGAAAAAAGAAAAAGGAATAAGTTCATGTATATATTAAAAAAAAAAAAAAAAAAACACGTTCAACTATCTTTTTAGAAGAAAAAAGTGATAGCATATCAATTAATTTCAGCAAGAAAGAAAATTAAGTATAATCAAATCACAGAATTTCTTACAGCAGGCAAATCAATGGGAGCCGTTTCCCTGAGTTGAAAGGTTTCCTTGAGGACATCTAGATCAAAAGGCTGTATGCGAGCATTAGTATCTCTGTAGGAAGATGTATTCTGAATAAGTTGATCCAATTGCATCCCATCTCCTTTTCTTATTTCTGTGTCTCCTACAACATTGTGAAGGTAGTGTGTGTCCGCAATTGACACAGGGAGTGACCTCTTGCAGAAAAACTCATAGTGGGGTATTAATTTGAAATGACTTATTAGATCCACAGCACTTGTCAATTCCCTTGGTCCTGATGGAACAAAAAACACTGTTAATATTGAACAAAAATAAACAAACAAAAACTTACTTTAATTTTTTTAAAAAAGGGATGCTCGCAGGGTAATTTCCATTGTATAACTCAAAATCCTGAACATGCTTATAGCATTTTATTTCAATATTTTCCAATTTCTTTTTATCCAATAAATTCAGCCATATACCAGAAAATAATCAAATTTAAGCACTTACAAAAATATTAATAGCAAATTATGAGTTCCTGTAAATATAACATTTTTTCTATGCAGGTTCACACATAAAGCTGTTACGTACCAAAGTTGAAGAGTAGAGTAAAATAAATGGTTTATCATCCTTGTACAAAAATATATAATGAGCATGTTGAAATCAAGTTTAAGCTTAAAAGAGAAAAATGTATGACAAATCTATATGTCAATGCCAATAGTATAATACTAATTAGTAAGAAACACCAATTTCACAAAAAATTGTAGCTGGAAATAATTCACCCTCATGCTATCCTTCAGCCTTACAAATCTGTCACTGTCATCTTATCAACCCGGCTTATTAGTATAATTGGAGTACAAAGAATTTTTACTATTTTATATCATAAGTCTAACAAAAATTCAGTCTGATTACTTAATATATTATCCCTTTCCTGGCACTAATTGTCAAAGTTAAAATTCTGCTATAGGAGCAAAAGAAGATATCATTCAAGTTAAGAATATTAACTGACTAAAAAATTAACCAAGTATCATCAATTGGATAACAAATATGGTCAATGCCATGCAGATAGAAAATCAGGATTAGCATATATAATATGTGAATAATACAATATTAGACAACAATGATTTGTATAAAATAACAACTATAACATAGAAAATGTACAACACTAATGTAACAAATTTTATACCTCCTCCAAACTTTTTTCCTTCAGGATCCATGAGTCAATCTTTCATGAGCCGTTGAACCAAAATCAACTGCAAAAAGTCAATTACATAACACAAGGTATCTCATCAATGAATGTCAAATGAAAACATATTCGCAAGATATCAAAATGCGTATAGGTTCTGCATGTAAGGCCAGGGATCTTTTTAATAAAAATATAGAAGAAAAAAATAGGGAAAGTACAACCAGAGTTGCCCCATCGCTCTAAAAACAATGCATGCACTGTGGAATTTTACATTTGTAACAGGAAGTGGCAGCCACTGGCAGAAAAACTCATAACATGGATATAATTTGAAATGATTAATAAGATGCCCAGAGTTGCCATGCCAGCTAATGGACAGTCACTATTCTTTCTTGTATCATATCCAAAGTCAATGTTCATGAATGACCTATTAAACTGTTCACCTATCACCCATGCAGTCCAAAAACGAATTACACTTATTGTAGAACCTTTTTTTTTCCTTCTTTTGCAAAACGACAAATATTATGTATGGCTTAGGAGGTGAACAACCACGAATCCTACTAGTTACCACTTTACCATCACAGCAGTCTAAAAGAGATTAGCATAAAAATTCAAAAGTGTTGTAACTTGTCATAAACTAAAAGAACTTTTTAAAACTTATTAGGAACACAATGAAGTATACCATGTCTCTTCATATCTCAACAGCTATGAAGCACGGATACTTCAATTTGCTTCACGTATCCGTATCCGATACGTATCCGACACGATACTCTTGGATACTTCACCGATACGTGTCAATGAAGTATCCTAGCCTTTAAAAATATTATAAAAATTTTATTCAATTTTGATACTTTCATATACTTCACCGATACTTATTAGTGATATATATCAATAAAGTGTTCAAATTTTTGAAAAATTATGAAATATCCATTACGGCTAAATAAGATATTTAAACATGTTTAATATAGAAACATAAAACTATTGGTCCTTGATGAACACGTATCTTACAAGTGTCGTATCCTATATATTTTTAAATAATCGTATCACCGTATCGGATACGTGTCGTATCCGATACGCGTATCGTATCGGTGCATCATAGCTCAACAGTAATCAAATTATCCTCTGGTAAATTACTCGAAGTAGGCTACTAAGACATTTCAGAAACATTTTACTTGTATCACAAACCCTAAAAGTTAAATAAGATTGACCAAGAAGCATATCCGGTACAAGTCTATCAGGAATGGATATTTTACACCCACACTATTAATGAGATTTAAAAAATTGAGGCCTGCAAGATATTTAGGAAACCTAGCATTCGAACAAAACACCATATAATCTGAGTCACAAACCCTAAAATAAAAGTGTGACATCAATTGACTAAAAGTGTTCCTAGAACAAGTCCAACAGGAAAGATTATTCTATGCCCACAATAATCTGCAAGTAGAGAACGCACACATAATTGTTCTCTTTGCTAGTTCATCTTTTTTTTCCCCTATTTCTGCAAATTTAATATTTCAAAAACCAAAGGTCAGAAAATCTTGCCAGAGAATCCCACATCGCTCATGAAATCATCACCAAATTAGGGATTTTTTAATTTCTCAAAAGGGGAAAAGAAATCTCAACTTTGCTCCCCCCCGCACCCCCAAAAAAAGGTGTTCTGAGGGCAAATTTCAAAACGCCTCACTGTAGTGCCTAACTCTAAAAACACTATAGCAGGTTAGCAAAAAGTGGGATGACCACTATTTTAAATATCATTATAATTATAATATACAAAGCAAATCATTTATACTACACATAAATACTCAAAACAGGAAAAAAATATTAAAGAAAATCTTGATAAATAATAAGTCACAGTTTACAGACACAATCACCATTATGGAGTAAAAAATGAAATATGTTGGTGAAATTAATAGAAAAAGGACATAACAAATTAGATTTAAAAAATAAGGAAGACTTGAATTAGGAAGTCTATAGGAAGAAGAAAGAACAGAACACAGGATTAAAAATAGTCCTGCAAAGTGTGAAGGAATAGAGGTGTCAAAACAGAGCTTATTACGGATTAAAAAATGGGGTTTTGAAGTTTATATCTTGGTAAAGCTGTTACAACAGCGCGCGAAAAGCAGTTATTTTTGCCGTTATGGCCACGACTAATGATTGAAAATCACTCCCCTATTTGAATCCCGTATAGTGCCTGAAAAGTCGTTGTTTTTGCAGTTATTGCCACTATAGCGTGCCTTTATAGTGCACTATTGACTACCATGCTTAAAACTTAGATGATTAGTTGTAACTAGATTCATTTCGCTTAAACTAATAACTCAAATTCATGTTTTTCCCTTTTTATTCAATAGGGTGACAAAACTTGATTGGTTAGGCTTTGAAAAGATAAAAGTTTCTGCTTTCAAAAAAGGGAAAACTCAATCATGACCTGCAGAGGAAGTATGCACAAATTTTACAAGAAACGTCAAGAATTCAAACCCTAGAGCCACCAATTATAAGAAGGATTTACCTAACCACCACCTTGACAACATGTTATTGTTAGTCCTCAAAAGAGGACAAAATGAATTAGGGGAAAAAATCCCAGAAAGAAAACACTGCAACTCACACAAACCAATATGAATTTTGAAACACTTAACTAATCTCAAACAATTTTCAATAATTTGCTTGTTTTCAGCCAAAATTCGTTTTCTAATCCCCATTCTCTCACACTTTTCAACTTCCAGATTATTAAAATTCATACGTAACGTTCCAAAAAAAAAAAAAAAAAAAAAAAACAAAACAAATAAAAAACAAAAACTCGTTTTAGCCATAAACGAAGCGATCATCTGCACCAATGGAAAGCTCCGCCTCAACGAAAACATTCAAATTCAAACAACGGTCAGATTTATCACAAGGCTATAAATATCAAGATCTAAGAAGAGAAGAAGAGAAGAAGAGAAGCAACAAGCAATAAGCAAAAACAAGCGTCAAAACAATTTCACTTCTCTTCCTATTCAGATTTGAATATCCATGTAAAACTAAGATAGTTTATCTTAGTGAGTGTAGAAACTACCTTATCCTCTCTGTGAGAGTTATATACACACTCTAAACACATCCTTGAAAAATTAAGGTTGAATACCTTAGTGAGCGTATAAACCATTTTATTCTCTCTATGAGAGTCACATACAAAAAAAAAAAAAAAAAAAAAAAACCAACGAATTCAAAAGCTAATCAAAAAGTGTCGTTGTGAAGAATACTCCAAGTCTCCACCATACACAAGCACACCCCAAAAGATACAAACCTTCATTACGTAAGTAAACAAACAAGCAAGCAAACAAACAACTCGTAAAGGAATCGAACCAGTGAAGAAAACTCACATGAAGTATGGCGAATTATGGGTTTCGTAGGAAACAAAAAACCCCTTCCGAATTCTCGCGAACCAAACCCACGCAACCACGCCAATCTGGAACCTTCTCGACCTTCGACCACCCAACAAAAATTTCCGCGGAAGCTGCGCAAAATTGAAATTGTTTAAGCGAAAAAGGCCACAATTAGCAAAAGGGTACTCGAGATTGTTGAGAAAAGAGGAACCATTTTTTTGCGCGGGAAAAACTGCGTGAAAATTGGAATTGACCCATGAAAGAGCAATGAAACCTCGAAAAGTGAAGATCCAAACAGTGGAAGAAGAAGAAGAAGAAGAAGAAGAAGAAAAGAAGAAGAAGAAGATTTGGGTCCTCACATAAGCACGTAAATAGAAGATCTTTGGATTCAGTTCTGGAACAAACTAATTTTCCTTCGTTGCTCCCTTGTGTTTTTTCTCTCTCTTCTTTCACTGTTAAAAAAAACAGCAAAACCCAAAATTCTCTTTTCTTCTAATGCCGATGCCAGTTGCCACCTCTTAATTTTTATTGAGCCCTAAGTTTCTGTGAAATATCCATTTTACCCTTGGCTAATGCGAGTGCTATTGGATCAGGTGTCAATTTTCTGTTTTTGTTTTTTCATAGTAGACTGGTGAAATTTGGGCATTATCCACACAAATTGTATACCAAACCAAAGTACAAGAATGTAGAACAACCGCATCTTGTTTAAGGTGACGATCATTTCACACGAAGGTGCATGACCAAACCATGTAGAGTTATGATCATAAGTTGTGACATAGTCCACGTGCTTTTAGGGTTTTTTATTTAATTTAAAAAGTTGTTTTTGAATGGATTTTTCTTTTGTAAACTTCATTTCGTTCCAATCATATTTATCAAGTTGGCTAAATAATACTATATTGGTCTAGGGTTTTCTTTAGTGTATGGTAATAATAAACGATATATAATGTAATTGTCATAACATTGGTAATTACTTATATATTCAACATCTATTATCGAATAGTTACTAATATTATATTTATTATTTTATGTTATTAAGGACTCACATCAAATATTTATGTTTAAAATAAAATTATTTTTAATAGTTTCCAATTTTTGCATCAAATACGAACACGCAATCAAATGCTCACTTTGATGCTCTAAAATTTATAAGAAAGTTCGTACATTGATTTTCTTCTCGAAGTACATGAAACAACTATACATCCATTTTTTATTTAGGTTATGTAATATTTCAAAATTTTCAAAATAAATTAATAAAGGTTTTAAAATAATTATCTAATTGGAATATAAAAGATTTAGTGGTGGGTAATTGAAAATATTTTATTTTATTATCTAAGAAAGAATATTTTGAAATTAATTAATATTTAATTATAAGAGATGAGTAATTAATTATATTAAAATTGTTTTTACTAATGGGCTAAATGCATGTTATAAATTTTAGGGTTTTCTTATATATAAAATAATAAATTAGGGTTATCTCTCATATTTTAAATTTCACGTTTTTGTCATCTGAAGAGGAAAAAGAACAGTAGCAAAACAAAGAGAAGTGAAAAAAATCATTGTCTAATTCAGATATCTACTAGGCAATGATTTTTGAATTACAACCGAAGATTTGTTTATCGTTGGATCAAGCTAATTTTTTAACAATAGGTTCGTAGAATGTGATTATTCATTTTCAATGGTTGAATTGTCCGAAGGAGGTCTACAGTTGAAGAAAAATGTTTTGAGTTACAACATTATTTTTGGACGTTTTCATCATGTTTATCATTAAGGAGAGAGAATCAAAGGTAGTTAAAGACAACTTTGGAGATCCACACCCAACATTTGGCCTCCATCGAGGTAAGTGGGAGGGGTGTGGGTTATTTATGGGTAGCGGGATTGACCTTAAATCTCGTTTTGTTGTGCATAATGCATGACAAGGAAATCCCAAGCTAGATTATGACTTGTGAATTGGTATTGTGTGATTGTTTTGATGTGCTCTGAGTATGATAAATAAGTAGTCACATTTGTAATATCTATTATTGCCTATGTGATCATGAATTTGTGATTGTTTAAGGGTTCCTGTGGGAACCCAAAGGATTGAATAAATTGAAATAGCATGAGTAATGAATGATAGGTTAAAAGACAATCTTAAATTCCTCAAGTTTTAAGTTTTGATGTTAACAAATAAAGAAGTTCTTAATCAACAATATAGAGTTTTTAAAACAACTAAGACGAACCTTCTAAGAAGCAATCCGTCAGCAAGACGAATACTTATATAAGATGAAAGTTGCATTAAAACAACTTTGATATTGACTAATATGAACCCTTAGTCATAAAAAGACATATGCATTAAATCTTGATCATTTACAATCTCTAAACAATAAATTGATTATGCCTGAATGTTTCCTTAATATATCGTATTTAAAAATACTCACTTGATATCAACATTTTACAAAAAGGAAAAAAAATACATGTTTTGCATTAGAAAAAGGCAAACAAATCCTTACAAACACGAAAAGTTACTATCAAAAGTCATTTCATCACTACAACATCTTGACACACGCATGACTACCTACTTGGTACCCAAAAGGTGATAACTAACTTCTTCGATTAGATAAGAAGTGACAATTTGATGTATGTATTTAATGCAAACATTTATTACACCAATAAATATTTCTCTCCTCAAGAAGCAAATTGTGAAGACAAAGAAAACAATCCATGAGAGAGAAACTCAAGAATTTGCAACGATCAATTTTTATTGAAGTCTTATATAAGGAAGTTTGAAGTTTAGAAAGATATGACAACAAAAATGGAATATTATTTTTTCATTCTTTCTATAATCAACTTTGTACTTAACTTGTTGTATCACATATTGAAAGGAAGACGAAGCAACTCTGTAAACCTTTTATAACATTGAGTTATTAGGTTTGAACTTGAAAATGCTTCTCTATAAAAGAATACTTGATATTGAAGCCTGAATAGGTTTTGTGTAAAATGAATACTTAGGTAATTTTTATTGAAGACAAAGAAAGCAAGCTATGAGGGAGAAGCTCAAAAATTTGCAATGGTCATTTTTATTAAAGTCTTATATAAGGAAGTTTGAAGTTTAGAAAGATATGACAACAATCCAAAAATGGAATATTATTTTTTCATTCTTTCTATAATCAACTTTGTACTTAACTTGTTGTATCATATCTTGAAAGGAAGACGAAACAACTCTGTAAACCTTTTATAACTTTGTGTTATTGGGTTTGAGCTTGAAAATGTTTCTCTGTAAAAGAATACTCGATATTGAAGCCTGAAGAGGTTTTGTGTAAAATGAATACTTAGGTAGTTGCTTGAAAATGCAAGTCAAAAAATACTTAAGGTTGAGCCAAAAGTGACTTGGTAAATAATACTTGTATCTTTTATAAGATAATGGAATTTGATCTAATTGGATCAAGAATTGGACATAGTCTTAGTGGTTGAGACGAACTAGTAAAATCTCTAAGTTTGTTCTTTGTTTCGTTTTGCTTTCTCCTATCCGTTACACTACTACTTCATTGCTTTGTGAAAAAATGCGAGTATTTGAGTAACACTATTCAAACCCCCTGTTAGTGTCTTTCTTTTGTCTATAGTTTAGTATTCGAGCTTAGTCTTTGACGAGGTTGAACACCTAACAGTACTAAAAATAAAGATCCTAAAATGAGAAGTAGTGAAAACGGTTAGGGTTATCTATGGTTAGGTTATTCCATTTTAGTTGTGGATCCAGCAGGCGCATATGACATGAAAGTGATAAGGGTTGATTTGGTAAGGTAAAGTCATTTGGACTGCTCATGTATATTAGGTGATCTTTGTAGGTGAATGTGTGATGACACATTAGTAAAATGTATGCATTGGTTGAATATCTTATTGTATGATATTTACTTTGTGTGAGTTTGATTATTTGGTGTGTAACTTTCAAATGGATTGTTGTTCTAAGGATTGTTGTATGATGTGAACCTTGTGTTGTTGGTTTGAAGGTTTACATGTGGGTGAGTAGTATAAATGTTTTTATTTCTATACTTACTTTCTCTTTTGAATCTAGCTTACCCTTACTTGTTTTCATGTGGTGTGGACTGCAACGTTTATACTTGGTATGAGAGCAAAATCAAAATAGATTGTAGAGGACTATAGTGGAGGCCGATAATGGTGATTTTGGATGTTTGTACTACCCTTTTTGTGGTAGTTGTATAGTTATGCTTAGCTGATGCTTAGGTCATATATTTGACTCTTATTGGATGATTGTACTTATATTATTTATATTTCTATATATGTTTTTACTTATATATGCATATGTTATATAGTACATATCTAGATATTTACAAATGTATGACTTTAAGAGTAGATTTTTCGCTATTAGTTGATGATTCCACGAAATATAACGATCAAGAGGGATCGTTACAAAATACACTTTGTATAGGTAATAAAAAAAATGAATAAATTTTAAATTTGCCATCTAAAACATGCCTTACTCAAATTAAATTGGAAAACAAAAAAACATTTGGAATATTATTATATATGTGTGAGTCTCCTAGACTAGAATGCTACTTTAAAATTGCTTTATATAGTGGTCATTCTTATATTATATCTATTTAATTCTTTCTTTTTTCTTTATTGAGGTACAACTTTATGTGTAGTATTAATGTCACCTTTCAAATAGTTTAAGGTACAATTATTTATCTTTTGCTCATTAAAGTACTCTATTTGTCGCCCTTTATATATGTTCCTATGCATGAGGGTGCAAAAGGTCATTACCTCTAAAAATCAAATTTAATACTACTATTGAGTTAGACCTACAAATAAGATTATGAATTTTCTTATGACTTTAATTAATCAATTTGCATGTATTACACATACACATCGAAACAATTACAAAATTTATATATATTTGTTATACATAAATTTCTTCTCCTTTTTTATTAATAATCTTAAGATTATGAATTTTTTTGATGATTTTAATTAATCAATTTGCATGTATACACATACACATCGAGTAACCTATTTGGCATAAGAGGATTGTGTGTGACCAACATATGAAAAAAAGCCATACAAAGTCAAAGAAATATCCATTACATTTATCTTATAGTAATAATAGAGATTGAGTATCGATTATATTTTTCAATAACTTTCAATTAAATAATAATAATTTTTAAAATTCATCGTTCAATTGAAAGTATCTTTCACTTGCACCATATATACATATTTTATATTAATTTAAAATTATTTAACATCTCATTCATATAAATCAATTAAAATCAACAAAATATATACTTTTTAAAATGTGAATAATTTGATTACTTTTCTACTATTTAAATCTTTAAAAAAATTCAACACAAACATTTAAAACTAATATAAGATTTAAATATAATTTTAGTTCTTGTACAATAAACGTGTTTTGATTTTAGTCTCTATAAGTTTTTTTCATTATTTTTTATTTTCTAAAATTTAGAGTTGTTGTTTTTGTTCCTAAAATATGAGCAAATTTTGATTTTAGTCCTTATAATTTTTTTTTTTGATTTTTATCCTCTAAAACCTAAAGTCACTATTATTGGTCCTTAATATTCATTTGAAGGTAAATAACTAATATTTGTTTTAAAAATTAAAAAAAAACTAGAAGTGTTACATACTAACATGGCATCAAATACAATTATGAGTATTACTAAGAATGATCACTTGAACATACAATAAACACAAAAGTAATTAACAAAGATAAAAAAATAATAGACACTAAAAACAACAATTTCAATGTTAAAGAGATAAATTCTTTTTATAGAGACCAAAATAAAAAATAACTTATTTTACATAGAATAAAAACATATTAAAATTATAATATAAATTATAATTTAATAATAACATGATAACATTTATGTTTAATAAAGTGTTATTAATAATACAATAATTGATTAAAATTACACTCCTAATATACAAATGTTGTGTACTCACAAGGGTGAAATATAAATAGACTCATGATAATTTATAGACTTAAATATAATTTTAGTCTCTCAAATTTAAAGTAAATTTATTTTTAATCTCTCAAATTTAAAATTAGTCTTTTTAATTTTGCAATTTCAAAATATTTTGATTTAATATTTGTATTCATATTTTATTAGAAAATTTGTCAAATTCTGTCGTATAAAATCTATCTACTGATTTATCTCTTAGTAAAAATGTCACATTAACTCTATATAATTATTCCTGTCACTTTTAGATATATTATTGATGAATTGAAGAGTTAAAATAATTTTTTTAAAAATTATAAGAATTAAAAACAAAAATTTTAAATTTTAAAAAAATAAATTATTCTAAACAAAGAACTCCAAACACATTTAAGTTAATCACTTGGCTAATTCTAGTGGTTGGGTGGGGAGAAGCTGAGATAGTTAGAAGTACGAGGGCCTAGCTCAATCATTATTACCATCATCTTTGTAATCTTTTCTATCTTTATAAAAAAAAAACATTTAAGTTTAATTTATATTTGATACTTATTATTGTCTTAATCTTTAGTATTGGAAATAAAAGATAGTAATATTAATCCTATTTTATTATGACCTAATGAATGAATAAATAATTTTTTGATTTCTTAGATTTTTTGGTTGGCTCAGAGGTCCCAGTAGAGCAAGCGAGACAAACACCTTCATAAACCCCTAACTAAGGTGTTTCCGCCGCGAAGAGGAAGAAGAAGAAGAAGAAGAAGAAGAAGAAGGCATCGTTGTTCTCTGCAATGGCGGTCTTCGATCACTTCGAGAACATGTACGACGTTGCGTTCAAACCCCGCTTGCTTCTCTCCCTCATCAGAGACCACCTTCCCGACGACAGCACCCCCTTTTCCAACCCTTCCAATCTCTCCAACCTCCTCTCCCTCATCAAAACGCACTCTCTCCTCTCCGAGTCCTTCGCACAATCCACGCCCCACAAACACGCTCAAGCGTGGAAATCCGCGTTCGCTTCCTGGCTCGACCGCATTTACTCCCTCATCTCCACCACTGTGGTAAAACACACCAACAATAACGAACTATTCAAATTTTTTTATACTTTTTTTTTAATGGTATATTTGAGATGGGTGCGTTTTTGTTGTTTTTGTTTTGTAGCCAGATAAATGCTGGGCGGGGATCTCTCTGCTGGGGGTTACTTGTGAGGAATGCAGTTCTGAGCGTTTCCTAGAATCTTACTCTCTTTGGTTCCAAAAGTTGCTGCCTTTTCTACAGGTATCGAGTGCCCTCTTGAATTTTCCATTATTCACTGCAGATATGCTGTTGTTAAGGGTAGTTGATGAATTTAGAGCAGAAACATCTTCGGAAGCAATTCTGGGCGAAAAAAAATAAGAAAGAAAAATGAAACAAGCTTTTCCTTGAGCTAAAACTAGCTTTTGCACAAGCTAATTTGTAATATTTGGAGAGGGTATACGAGGGAGCTTCTACAATTTAAGTTGATTTTAGCTTATGGAGAAGCTTATTTCATTTTTTCTTTCTTTCTTTTTTTTTTTTTTTTTCCAGTTAGAAGGGTTTTGGAGAAATTTATCCAAACAGGTCCTTAGACCTTAGTGATGCTTTCTAGCTGTTGTATTTTGCATGTTATCCTGCATATGTTTTAAGGCACGAGCCAAAGCTGGTGCTCTAAGGAGAACTTAATGTAATGGACATGGACATTGTTTGAACTTAATGATATGGTGTGTGCTACGTAATTTGTTGTTTATGAAAATCTATATCATTCCTTTTATATTTACTGTGTTCGAACTTTGAAAGAGAGTATTTGGGTTTTCTCAATAAATGAAAAGTATGTTGTGTGTGAATCTAATTGGGGTTTGCATTGGTGGATGATCTGGATAGGAAAAGAGATGGATTCTAGTTGTAAGATATCTAATGAAACTGTCATTGGAATTGATATCTCATTCAAAGAGAAAGATATAAAATATCTGGAATTCTTTTTTTGTGTATTATATGGATGATACCATTACAGTAAGACATTCCTCCAGGAATTTGTAAATCAGCAATCTATCTTTATATGATGCCTTTTGGAATTACTCAATGTGCTTATTCTTTTTTTTAATCCATTTTAGAGTTTGTGAAGAAGCTTCTTTTCTTGTATTGGATAAGGACATTATTTTTATATGTGATATATCACTAATATGTTAAACATCATTTATGTGATACAATGTGTTTATTTTCTTCTTGGACTTCCATTTGAATCTTTTAAATTACATGTGCGCTCAAACGTAGATGCCCTTGTTTTTATGTGTTTACATGCATCTTTGTTCAAATCTCTGAAGTGAGTTTTTTACTTTTGTTATGCACAATTGTGATGTGTTCCTTGATCTTTACTTAAAACAGTCACCAGCAGATTGTCATTTAGTGAGGGTAGCTGCTTGTGCTTCAATGTCTGATTTATTTGTAAGGTTAGATATTTCTTATCCTACCAAAAGAGTTTCCTATTAATTGGTACAATTATTGGGTGTGCAATGTAGAATAGTCATGCTTGATGCTGTTAAATTGAATCCCTTGCTATAAATTTATCCCTATCTCTGTGTTTGTCTGAAAGCTGTTTTGTGGTAGCTACATATATTGCCAGTAATTAATTACTCATATCTGTGCATGAATTATACTCAATGGGATGAGGGCAAGTTTGCCAAACTTGAGTCTGCCTAAACTTATGGAGGGTTTATAACTCAACTATATAAAATCGGCTTGTTAGGTGAGGGGTGTTTGAGCTCTATAAGACTTATTTAAGTCCCCTCTAATCGATGTGTGACTAAACTATCATCCTTGAAGCTACAATTAAGACGTCCTTCAAAGTGGCTGCAACTAAGGTAAGCTAGGGGTGACTGTAATCGAGGTGGATTTCCAACAATAAACTTGACTTTTAAACTTCTAAGAGTTTACTTAATTCAAAAATTAATATTGAAAAAATTAATCATAGTAAATGTAATACCATAAATTAATAAAATAAAATAACATTCCATGCCCCATGTCTCAACCCAATATCAGTCTTATTTTTAGGGCCATTTCTCCTAGTTTTAAAACTGGGCTGTGCATCTGTATTGCTTAAGCACCTTGACCTTCTGATGTCAGACATTTAGTAAACTCTCTAACTTGACTGTGGAATCACTAGTTTGACCGTGTTTATCTGATCCCAACAGAGTTTAGGCAAGTTGTTTGTTAGGGTTGACATGATTTATGAACCTAAACTCATCCAAGTCTGCAATTCAACTTACGGGTTTGACAACAATGAGTATTCCTATGAAGTTGCTTAAATTTGACATTCCATTTACTTAACTGCTTACTAATTTCTGAATTATATGAGTCCCAGGATTTCTATAGAAACAAAATTACTGTAAATATGCATTTAGTCTTAATATTTAAATATTTCTTACATTTATTTTGTGGACTATTTTCTGCCACTTATTGGTGTTATCATTCTAAATCAAATTAAAACAATCTTGGAGCCTTTGTCTTAGTCCTGTTGCTGCTTGTGAGATCTGTAGCGTCTTCATAAAAATAGCTGGCAGCTACCTGTACTAACTCTTTGTTGCAAAATAGGTTAAGTGGATATCCAAAGATCAAGAAAGATTCATCTTCCTGTGCTGTGAAAGTTGTTCAGCCTACTTTGAAGATGTTGAATGATGAGAACTCAGAGGCAGTATGGGTAAGTTCTTAAATAATAATTGAGGGAGAAATTCTTGGGTTGAAGTTGGTTTTGGCAGTTCTTAGAATTGCAATTGCATTTTAAATGATTATATGGGAAGCATTATATATGTACAGTATATGTTGATGGACGGATTCATTCAGTTCGTCACGTATTGCATAAATAATGTGATCAGATAAAATAACTAAACTATCGTAATTGGTTATTGCCAGGAGCTGAAAATGTCTTATGTTAGTAGCAAAATTTGGAAGATAAAAAGGTTTTGCTTAATGCGGATAAATCTTTAAATATAAGATATTCTGAGTGCTCTTCACGATAGACCCTACCTGCTATTTCTTTGGACGAAAGTATCTTTTTTTTTTTTTTTTTGCTTACAACTTTTTTTATTATTTGAATTGTGGTGAATGCAGGATGCTGCAGTTCATTTGTTATGTACCATAATAACTTCATTCCCATTTTCTATTCGGAATCATTATGAAAGTGTAAGCTTCTCCTTCCCTTTTTGCAAGTCCTTATTTCCTGTATGCATGATTAGAACTTTGTTTCTTTTATAAATGCACTACCTCCTCTAATATTTCTTTTACCAAAGTGAGAACTTCAAACTCAAATGGTAATTTTGATATGTTCCCTTTCTTTTAATATCGCCATCATCTTTCATGTCATGACTTAATTACTATCTTCCTATTACTCCTAGATTGATGAAGTTTGTGGGAGTTAACTGTGACTTATTATTTATCATTAGTTTGGTACATGTTGACATGCTGTAGATCTATTCAGAGAGATTGTTATGGTGTGCTACATGCATCATACACTTGGTTTATGTTCTTTTCTCTTTTTTTTTTCCGCAGTTTTTTAGCTGTAGAGAATTTTTTTAATTGTCACCCCTTTGTATTTTTACTCTTTCTCAATAAAAAAAAAAACTTAGGATATGATTTTGTTTATTAAATGGTTCAGATCAGGTTTTATTTCCTAGTATATTAATTTATGTTTGCTTTAATAATCTTAAAAATGAGCCATAAATCATACTAGGGATGCACACGTGTCTAAGGTTTGCATAATTGGGACATTGATGCTTTTACAGTTTGCTTTTGCATATACACTACTTGTATTGACACTAATTTTCTTATTCTAGTCAATACTCTTTGGTGTGTCTCTATCTCTGCATGGTTGAAACAAGATAATGAGCATTACATGTTTGCATGTGATTGATAACAGTTTGTTTGTTGCTCTTATGAGGGAAAATGTAGAGGATACCATTCAAGTTCCCTTGATGCTGTAGTCACATTCTGATGAATGTTTTGAATTTATGCAGGTTGAATCTGCTATTGCTTTAAAACTTTTGTCTGGAGGATGCAGTCTTGATATGTTGAAGGTAATGTGCTCATCAAATTTCAAAGAGCCTTTCTCTGGTGTATGTTTGGATTGTTGGTATAAGAAGAGATGAAAGGGGACTGTTTGTCTGTCTGTCTTTGTATGTCTGCAGCAGCCACGTTTTGCTTAAAAAATAATTTCACCTTTTCCTTTTATCTTATTTTATACATTATATCAGAAGGTATTAATTTGTTATTTTAAATTTATATTCTACAAGTTCCATTCCATTTTTTAATATACAACTTCCAAACACAGAAAAAAATTCTACCAGCAGCCACATTTTGCTTAGTCAGTATCGAACATGCTAGGAGTATATTTATGTTTTTTTATTCTATTATTTTTCCTATTTTAAAAGAATGCCTTGTACTTAATGTTGAATTCTTAGTTTTGTGTGGAAATGTTTCTGTACATAAAAAAAATACCCACGTGATCTAAATCTGATGTTCTCTGTTGTCTGCTTGGGTACATTTAGAAACTCGCACATTGCCTCGCACTGCTTCCAAAATCAAAAGGGGATGAAGAAAGCTGGTCTGTGATGATGCAGAAAATTTTGATGTTAATAAATGATCAATTAAATTTAGCCTTTCATGGTCTGGAAGAAGGTAGATATTGGTATTATCTGTTTTATTACAGTCAGTATTGAAAGCAGTTTGTGACTATCTTTTTCCTTGTGTTACAGAAACCATGCGGAACATGGTTACTAGGTTGTTGTTTTGGCCTGGTAAACATCCTCCATCACCGCTAGGAGGCTATGTATTAGCAGATGAAGTTCGTAACAAGGCATCAAACACGTCTGAGCAATCACTGATGTCTAATGTCTCTACACTTATGTTTGGCTGTCGCATGATGCTTACAAATTCATACCCTGTTAAGGTATTGTTTAGTTTATCCAATTTGTGTTCCTACAACTATAATTGATTGTCAGTTCTGTGTATTCTTAGTCTGAGAGAACAATGACAAAATGCAACTTGACATTGTTAGGTAAATGTGCCTGTTCGCCTGTTATTGGCCCTTGTTGAGAGGATTCTGATGGTAAATGGCTCTTTGCCACAAATGTCATTGCCATTCATGACTGCCAAGCAGCAAGAGAACATTTGTTCAGAACTTCCAGTTTTGCACTTGAGTAGCCTGGAATTGCTTACTGCTATCATAAAGGCCATGGGCAGGTACGATTACATGATTGCCTTTCCTCTCCATTCATAAGAAAAATAGGCTTAACAGAAAAAAGAAATGAGGTTGAGTGTTTTGTAAATTAAATGTAACATTCTTGAAACCTTGACATTTTAGAATAGTGTTTGTTTATTTATATATTTTTATTTTAAGGCCATTATTAGTGATCTCTGTCATAATGTGTCTTCTATCATCTAAGAGCTTACCTTGCATTGTTATGGTGTTCTGATCTTGTTTCTATGTGTCACTTCCATATTCTTTCCTTGAATATACTTTTCATGTATTTATTTCTTGCACGAGTGTATAATTCTACTTATTGCCAATATTTGTATTGCAGTCAACTATTACCACATGCTGCCTATATTGTGCGCATTGTTACAAAGTACTTCAAAACATGTGAGCTGCCAGATATAAGGATTAAGGTCTATTCAGTCGCAAAGAATTTGCTCTTAACCATGGGTGTTGGTACATGAAATTTCTCAATTGAATTGCTTTTCTGCTTACAATGATTTTATCTTGTAGCAAAGAAGTTTGTGAATTGGAATGTGTTTTTTATATTATTCTTTACATACTCCCTTACTACATTTTTTTAGTTTTTTTTTGGGAAGATATATTATACTCTCCTAGACGAAGAGCCTTGGCACAATGGTAAGGTTTGTTTGCCTTCTAATTTAGAGGTCACTGGTTCAAATCTCAGCTGCTTTTGGGGGTAAAACTGTGTACAATCTACCTTCTTCATACCCTACCAAGCGAGAGCCTTGTGCATTGGATCACCTTATTTTTATATTTTACGTCCCACATTTCTCATCCATCAACGTTTCCTTGTTAACCACTTTGAACATCACTAATAGCATACTTGGGAAAATGCTGGGGGAGTCCAGAGTCAGATTAGAAGAATGCGTGACTCTGGGAAAAAATGATGTTTGGTTGTTTTTAATTAAAATTGCTTTTGCTCCTAAAAGCATGTTTGACTAAAAGCAAAAAAAATGTAGCTTTTGAGAAGGTGCAGAGTTGAAGATTTTATACTAAGGTGGTTCTTGACTCAACTTTTTTTGGCTTTCTCTTAAAAGAATAATCTCTTCCAATTAGCTTTTGTAGAGGATTTTTTTGTAGCCTTTTTGAAATTTTTTTTTGAGGCAAACTTCTTTTAAGGAGGAGGAAAACCCAACAAAAGTTGAGTCAAACACTACCAAATTATATTACAAGCTTGCTTTTGAGATAAAAGGTTTCAAAATAAGTCACTTCAAACTTAATTTTAATCGAAGTCGTATTTACATAATCAAGTATTCAAAATCATTGAAAATTGGGTTTGCATACACTTAGTGAAGCACACATTTACTAAGAATTCCTTTGTAGAATTTTCCCATTAAGGATACAAAAAAGGTAGAGAATGGGAGAGGAAGTGAAAATGAAAGGAGGAAAGAGAAAGGCCTGATGTTAAGTGTATTTAGTCATAGTTTCATGGTCTCTCTCTGCTGTCATCATCCTACCTCTGATTATATGTAATACTGTTTTATTTATTGATAGATATCTATCATTTGTGTTTTTGCAATAGATTATTTCAACAACTTTACATGTAGCCATGTAGGCTGCATGGGCAGTTCTTTCCCTTTTCAGCTTATCTTTCTTGATGCGGAAATTCATCTGTTTCCCTTTTCTTGCTGTTTGTTTAGGCTTTATTTAATTTGACCATACATAATGGCCTTTATTAATTAGTCATCTTGAACAGGAATGGCTTTATACCTTGCACAGGAAGTTATTAACAATGCATTTGCTGATTTAAGTAATATTGAGCATAAGAATGGTGGCATGTTAAATGGTTCAAATTTAAATGCCTCTGCTGGAGCACCGTTACCACCAGGTCATAGAAAAAGGAAGCACATCAGTACAAATGGTTCTCTTCAGGCGCATGATGAAGGTGGTGGTCTGGGTGTGGAAGTTCCCAAGAATTGTCCATTGACTCCAATTTCTCTGAGGATAGCTGCACTTGAGACATTAGAGGCTCTTGTTACTGTGGTATGTATGCATCTAAGTATCTTTAATATAAAATAACTTAAGGTGTTGTTTCTTTATCAATCTTTCCCT